CTAACCCTTCAGTAGCTGACGTGGTGTTTATCACGTGCCAGGCATTGCTCTACACTCTTCCTATATATTAATCCATTTAATGGTCTCAGCGACTATCAGGTAGGTTCTAATATCACCCATTTTACAGATAAGGCAACTGAGACACATGGAAGTTAGTGCCTAAGTCACTCAACCTATAAGTGCCCGAGTTGGGATTTAAACCCAGGCAGCCAGGCCCAGACTCCATACTCTTAACCATTAAACTATAGGAAAATATAAAGAATCACAGGCCCAACTATGACAAGGGGGTCCAGCCTTGGAGAAGGCGAGGAAGAGTTAACATTGCCTCTGACCCTTATTACCTCCCCCACCTACCCGTGCCCACTTCCTTCCACTCACCCCGATAAGTCCTTTTCTTCCTGATTAGTCAACACCCCCAAGCCCTGACACTCTTACCCAACTGGAAACCCTACCTCATCGTCAAGGCAACAGGCTTGATGCTTTCTAGGGAGCCAGTGTTGCCAGGATCAGCCCAGCCCACTTTGCAAATTCAAGGCCTCAGCAAACCTGACCACTGCTGGCTACACGCCCAGCTCAGCCTCTGATGCAGGTGCCCCATCTCAGATCCCTGCTTACGAGACACAGGGTGGGACTTGACTACCCCAGTGCCTTCCCTGAGCACCTACTGTGTGCCCAGCCCCAGACCAGCATTTGGAAGAGGATATGAATGCACTACAGCCCTGACCTCCAGAAGCCCACAGTCCAGCAAGGAAAAACCGTCGTGTAAACGGATCTCTAGGATACCCTGTGGTCAGTGCTAAAATTAGAGGTGTGTCCCCAGTGGACTGAGGGCACAGGTGTCGGAATGATTCACCCCGAGTGGCGGGAAGAGAAGGCTCCAGTGCCTCTGGGTGAGCTCATTTCTCTTGGAGACATCCTCAGCCACCTACTGGAAGGAACAGTGAACCGGAAATGAGGGGACCTGGGCACTCGTGCCAGCTCTGCTGAGTGACCCTGACACACATCCTCTCTGGGCCCCAAGGTCCCCCTCTGAAAACAAGAGGGCCCCCAAGTGTGGGAGAGGAGATGGTTGTAAACGGTTCAAGGTCCAATTCACACTGAATCACAGACTGAGAAAAGTTTCATTGCTCAACTCCCTTCTGATCCTTCCAAGGAGCAAATCTCAGTTTCGGTGCCAGTTTGTCTTTAAGCCTCTCAAACACTCGCCAACCTGCCTTTTGGTCAAAGAGGGCAGGCCTCAGGTTCACAGCCTACAGCACCACAATACTGAGCTAGGATTTAATAACATCTGTTTTCCCTGCACTGTATTTACTATAACCGTTACCTGCTATTTTTGATGAGGGAATATTGGTTTCCCATTGGCAGTAGTCATATAAAGCCTCCTTTTAAAAATAAATTTAAGTATAAAGTGAGTCAGTTTAGAGAAATATAGTAAATAATATTACAATTGGTATAACTTCTTTTTTTTTTTAATTTTATTTATTTATTTTTTTCCCCCAAAGCCCCAGTAGATAGTTGTATGTCATAGTTGCACATCCTTCTAGTTGCTGTATGTGGGACGCGGCCTCAGCATGGTTGGAGAAGCGGTGCCTCGGTGCGCGCCCGGGATCCGAACCCGGGCCGCCAGCAGCGCAGCGCACGCACTTAACCGCCAAGCCACCAGGGCCAGCCCTGGTATAACTTCTATGTAGGGCAATTTAACAACATCTATCAAAATTTTAAATGCACATTCAAAAACGGCCAGAGCTGTTCCATGCTATTAGACGTTCCATAGCGATTGCCGCTGGAGGGAAGGGGTGGTGACTGAAGTGGGCACAAGGGGGGCTTCTGGCTTCTGCTGTCCATTCTGTTGGTTGACCTGGGGGCTGATTATACAGGTGTGTTCACTTTGTAAACATTCGTCAAGCTGTATACACTGATGATGGGTGCATCTCTGTATGTGTATTATACATTCACTTACCCTTTAACCCAGTAATTCAACTTCTAGAAAATACCCTGCAGACATAAACACATATGGGCAAAATGACACGCTCAAAGATGCTCACTGCAGCACTGTTTGCAGTAACTAAAGGTTGGAAACAACCTGAGTTCCCCAGCTGGGGACTGATTCAATAAACTCTGGCACAGTCTACAGTGGATTCTATGCAGCCATCAAACAGAACGAGGCCGCCCCTAGCAAAGCTCCAAAATTTACCTGGATTTAAATTTAAGTGAAAAGGTAAGGGCAGAACTGTGTATAGTGTGCCTCTTTATGTGGGAAAAAGAAAGAATATATATAATACACGCACACGTTTGTGCCTAGGGCATCCTTTGCCTAGGATATTATCTCAGAAAAGAATCACAGAAACTGCTAAGAAAGATCTCCTCTAGACAGGGCAGGCCAGGGAGAGGGGTAGGAGGGAGGCTTGTCATTGATGACTACTCTTTTGTACTTTTAAATTGTGTACAATGTCCTTGCATTTCCTATTGATAATAAGTTTTAAAGCAAAAAGTCTTACAGAAAGTGCACGGCTATGGTAAAACTTAGGCCCCTTCCAGACCTAAAGACAGAGATGAAAGTGTTAGCGGTTGGGGCTCATAAAGCAAGTGACCCTTGACCCCACTCCCCTGCCCAGGGATGGCACCAGAGATAATGCTGTAATGGCTTCAATTAGCAGCACACCTGGTCTAGGACAAATTACTTATTCACACTGGGCCTCTGCCCTGCAGTCAAACTCTGGCACCTCAGAGCTGCCCTGGCTGAGTCGGCAGGTGGCTGAGTTCTTGGCATGGGTGGGGAGATTTTTAAGCATAAATACCTCCAGGGATGGGAAGCAAAGGATTTGGTAAGGCAATCTCAGGTGGCTGGAGAGGAAGGATTCTGAGTTCTGAGTTCTGAGTCCCGCCCTGCCCCGCAAGAAGGAAAGCAAGGGCCAGAGGGTGGTCTTCCCTCGGGGCTGCAGGGGACAGTGACAGAACAAGGCCTTGAAAATTTGAGTTCAGTCTTAACTGCATAACTTTCTTTTGCATAGCACTTGGCTCGCCCACGTGTCACGATCTCCCCCATCACCAATCCTAAAAACAATCCGGTGAGCTGTGGGGCAGGGTATCAGATGGGAAAATGGAGGTGCAAGGAGGTTAAGAGATCAGTCAGTGATTACGTACCAAGAGAAGGGGTGACGCCAGAAACGTAACCCCCACCTTCCCACTCCTGGTCTTCCCGTATTTCCCACCTCCCCACCCATCAACCTTAGCCTTCCCTCTTTCAACTCGGACCCACAGAGAGAACAGCTCCGGAGGCCAGACAAGCAAGGCGCAGGCAAAAAAAATTCCAGAATCAGAATCAAGGCGCCTATGAGACCACCTAGCCCAGCAGTTTTCAACCCTGACTACACACTAGCATTACCTGGAGAGCTTGAATAAGTTTACCTAAATACTTATGCCACAGCCCAGGCATCTGTAGTGTTTTCAAGACTCTCCAGTTGCTTCTGATGCTACTATGGGAGAGAATCACTGAATGACAGCTCACATCACCCCATCCCAACTCCACATGCAACCTTCTGCCTCCCTGGAGCTTCCACCAACAGGTCCGTGCTCCATCCTCTGGCCCCCACACACCCTGCTCATCTCTCTGCCACGTTACCTAGAGTCACAACTGGACTAGGATCCGAGCAAGTCAATTAACAGCTCTGAAGCCCCAAACAGGGAAGTGACTTGCCTAAGATCTCCCAGTGAGTCAGTAACAGAACAAGACCAGAATCTGGATCTCTTGACCACCAGGCACGGTCACACCACAGAGGGGTCACAAGGAAAGCCAAGCCCGATGGCAGATCTAGCAGTTCCTGCTAGCAGAACAGACCCAATGAGAGGCTGAGAAGAAGACAAGGAGTGTCGTGTGTTTTGAGGAGGATGGGTGTCAGTGACCCCCCCCTCAGGCCCCTTGGCAAGCCTGCCCTGTGGCATACTGGGGCAGAGGACTATTCTAGAGTGGCAGGGCTAGCACTGGCCTATAGAAAGATGTCCTCATTTCTAGGAGCAGGCCCAGCCTGGTCTGAAATCTCCATAAAGAAATCCAGTCTCTTGGGTCAGCTTACCATTAGGCCCAGATTCCCTGCCCACAATAATAATGGCTCACACTTTTCTTGAGCTCTTGGCTGGTCCCTGTGCTAAGTACTGTAGTTGGCCTATTTCATTTAATCTCCACAGCCATCCTAAAAGTTGAGTATAATGACTATCTCCATTTGCAGATACGGAAACTACAGCCTAGAGAGTTGAAGTAACTTCCCCAAGATCACTCAGCTAGAAAGTGGCTGCAGCAGGACTCGAAGCCTAGTTCATGTCCAACCACCTCCTCCTGCCCCCCAACAAGACAGAGGAAGTAAAGCCCAGTGGCCCGGAGATAGTTACTGAGCACCTAGGAGCTACAGGAGATGTTCCCAGATGTTGTCTGGTGGAATCCTCCTGGCCACACTAGGGACAAAGCATGCACATCCTCCTTCCACCCAAGAGGAAACCAAGGCACAGTGGGGAAGCATCTTGCTCAGGGGCATCAGCAAGTAAACAGTGGGGACAGGACCGGGAGTCCAGGTCTCCCAACCCAGACCACAGAGCCTGACCACTCCTTCTCCACAGGCCGTTGGGAAGGCAAACTCAGCAATCCCCGGCAAGTGGGGGGTGGGGGGCGCTGCCAACGCGGTAACCACGGCCTACCGCACCAGCGGATGCACAGGGGACTCGAGGACCAAACCTGCTGGTCAGGTGCACACAGGTGAGCCACGTAGCGCTCCTTCGTCGCGGCCAACTAGCTCTAATGCTCCCAACCGGACGGCTGAAATTCAGGCTGAGCTTGGGCCGCCAGAATTTCCCGGTTCCAAGGGAGAGTGGGGCGAGGAGCCAGGCGTGCGCTCCCAGCACCCTCCCTGGAGCAGCCAAGTCTGGACCAAACCCCGGGCTCGGCATGGGGGCAGTCAAGGGAGTATAGGCACCGGCTCCCATCCCGGGGCCCTACTGGCATCACTCACCCAAAACACTGTGGAGTAGACGATGAGCGAGAACTTGAGCCAGAGGTAGGACAGGCGCGCGCAGTAGCGCACCTGCTCTGAGTCCCCGCGGGGCATCGTCGGCACTCCCGGCGGGGCTCCAGGGCTCTGGGGCTAGGTACCCAGTCGTGAGCAGCCCCACCTGCAGCTGCCTGCCGGCTGCCCGGCTACCCGCCCCGCCACCGGCGCTCGCTCGGGGACTGACATCGACGAGCCGCAATCACAGCGCCGGCCCGGGACCAGCCAGCCCCAGCGGCCAATGGGCGTGAGGCAACAGCCCAGCCCTTGGGAGGGGGCGGGCCGGGGGCGGGGCTTCGACCCAGGACCCGCTGGAGGCGAAGGGAGGGGAGGGGGCGAGGGCTTTGCAAACGAGGTCGCGAGCAACTCTAGAAACGCTTGTGCTAATGGCGAGGAGAAGGGCATGGGAGAGTGTGTAGTGAGGAGCGCTAGGGAGAGAGCGAGTGTGCCTGATCCATAGAAGTACGCGCTTTCCACTGTTGTCAAGAGGAAAGACTCGGGGAAAAGGGCAGGAATTAACCACTAAGGTGTTAAAAATGTACACAAGAGTGGGCAAGACGTGAATGGAATAAGGAAGTGGAGTTGCTCGGCCTGAGGGGGGCGGAGGGCCTCATCTCGGAAGGTGCAGCAGACCACGGTGGGGCTAAGGGGCCCTTATGGAGCTGGGGCCCCGAGTTTCCTTTTGTAACACGTCGCTTGTTGTCTGTCTTTCCCCAAGCAGTCTCCGGGAATCCCCTTCTCTGTTGCCTGGTGAGATCCCAACCCTGCCCCGAGGCTTCCTCCTCTAAGAAGCCCTCTGCCACACCCCCAGGTCAGTGGCCCCTCCCTTGCACACACCTAGCTCAGGTCTGACCCAGCCTGGCCTTTTTCCTCCTGGCCTTTTCTCTGCCTGGGGTCAGAGCTGCCTGCATGGCTGTGAGTCTGTCCCCACACTAGATGGCCTCAGCTTGACTCACTGCTCTTTCCATGCCTCCCAGGACTAGCTCAGCCTGGAGCTTCGGAGCCAGGCAATCAGTGTTTGTGGCACTTGGTAATTAAATGTGTGGCCCAGAGGTCATGAGCTCAAGGCAGTGCTGAGTGGGGTCCCTGGTGGTGACTGCAGGAATGGCACCCTTGTCCAAGTCCCCTGCCCTGGACACCCAAGCCTCCTGTATACACACTCCAGGAGAGAGACAGACACACTATGACAGGGACCAGGCCGGCTGCAGCCCCCAGGGCTCTGCCCTAGATGGAGTAAAGTAAGGTTGGGGGTGAGGAGGGAAGCAATGCCTGGCCCAGAGTGGTCAAAGGAAGCCAGTTTCCTGGGACAAGAGGAGCCAGCCCCGCAAGGGTGTTTGTGCTGGGTAGAGCCGTGGAACCAGGGACTGCAGCAGGTTACCTCAATGAATAACCATGGGCTAAGAAGACATCTTACCAGTCTTAACAGTTGTCCTTTCTGTCCTTTGAGGAGGAAGAAACTAACTCTTTACCCCTCTTTGGGGGACTAGCTTCCCTCACCGAGCCCTGCAGAGCTAGCCTTACGCCCACTCTTTGAGGTGCTGGTCTCCATCCCCTGGAGGGCTTGCCCTCTGAGGGGCTGTCAGTCTCCCCCTTCCTGAGGGTCAGCCTCCTACCCTCCTTCCCCACTCAGGCTTTATTTCCAGTTGCCCCTGGCCCAGTTCCGGCCTCTCTAGTGAGCTGCACCTTCTCTCCTCTTTCAGATCTTCCCTAGGGACACACAGGCATCTAAGGGCCCCTCTCAGCTCCCGCTCAGCCCCTGTGAGATGCCCTGAGGGATGAGGCTGACACGCCTGCAGGGGAGCCTGGCGCTCTTTGGGGCCAGCACAGCCTTTCCTGGGCTCCTGAGCTCCTTTGCTGTCCCTCCCCACCCCAACCTGACCCCAAGCACTGTGAGCTGCCCCTCAGCCACATTTGCAAACACTGAGACCTCAGAAGAAGTGACAACCTATTTTCAACTTGCCCCTCCTTCTGCCAGCAGCTCTGGGCTGGGGGTCAGCAGGCCTGGTGCTGATCCTGATTTGCCATTAACTTTTGTGAGACCGTTAGCATATGTGGCACAGATAGTGTGACACACAGGTGTAAGTGTGGCCCTGGCTGCAGTTTAAACCACCTAGTGAGCTTTAAATGTATCCTAATACCAAAGCCCTACCCCAGTCGAGTCAGAATCTCCACCAACAAGAGACCTGGGAATCAATATTATTTAAAGGTCCCAGGTAATTTCTAAAGTGCAGCCAGGATTGAGCACCACCAGTCTAGAAGCAGTCATGAGGGTGAGGTGGTCAGCCAGCACTTTATCAGAAAGGCTACACTCGGAGGTGACTCAGCTACAGTGGTGTGCTGGTAAATGTTTAATAACTAGCTCTCTGGTGGTGGGGGATGGGGGGGACCTTGTTACCTACTTCCGTAGTGTAAATATTTCCGCCATCTCTGATTTCAAGTTACCAACCTGAAGTCAATGAACCTGGGAGCTAGGAAGAGATATGCACAGTCACATGCAACCAGCTCAGCACACCTCTGCAGCTCCCCATGTCTCAATCCACCCCTGAAGCTTTACTGAGTAGCATAGAGAGTGCCGTAATGAATGCATCAGTGAAATTCCTGGCTTACTAGTTAGCATAACAGGTATTAGAAATGAGCTCTCCTTTGGTGAAATTAGTGGTATTCAAAATATGTAGATGGGCTGAAATGGTTGAGGGACACCACTCATTCCTTGTTGAGAGTGAAAGGCTCTCACTTAGGGATGATGCACTGGGCTAAATCCTTGAGGGGTCCCGTGTCCCCAGGTGTTCTGGTTGCCTGATCTGACCATCAGTCTAACTGAATCCTGCCTCTAGAACATTGTATCTTCCTTGCAAGGTGGTAGAGCCCCTAGAAGGACAGAGAGCTGGGCCTTCTCTGCCTTTACAGAACAGAGTGTATGAACTGGTTTTGTGGCTACTTGCTAATGTTTGTTTTATCGGTATTTGTATGCGCAGCAGAATTTGTTCTGAGATCTGTTTTCATGATACCTGGCAGGGAGATTGTAGAGGGAAGTAACTAACCCTCACCTTTAGAGGCTGCAAGTGTTTATGAAAAAGAAGCTCAGAACTGGGTATGACCCACTTGGCTTGCATAAGTTTGCATTCATGCCACTGAGCAAGCAACCCTGTCTGTGCCTCTCTTTCCCCATCTGTGAAACCGTGAGGTTGGACTGTTTCTCCTCTAGCTCCAACAGTCTTAGCTATAGTCCTCAAAGGCAAATCAGTCAGCACATGTACACTGAGCTTCTCCTGTGAGCCAGGTCCTGCCCCAGGCTCTGGGGATATGACTGTAAACCAGATAGACAAGAGCTTCTAGTCTCTTCTATTGGGCAGTAGTAGGGAGTTGTGGGGACACGCAACACATATGAGAACAAACACATGAAAAGGGTAATTTCAGGTCCTGATATGTGCTAAAGATGTGGGAGAAGAGCTTCCAAGTGGAAGAAGCAGTAAGTGCAAACGCCAAGAGAGAGGAAAAGCTTAGCGAGTCTGTGTGACTCATGCAAGGGATGGCGGGAGGTAGAAGAAGGCAAGGTCAGAGACATAGGAAGAAGCCTCCTAGCTTTGGTAAACAGTTTAGATTTATGTCCAGTTTCAGTGAGGGCCACTGGTAGTTTCAAGCGGGGACTTGATACAGAGTCTGATTTCTGCTTTAGAAGGCTGCTGCACAGAAGATGGACAGGTGGGGGCCGGGGCTGGTGGGGAGGAAGGCTGGTTAGGAAGCCATAGCAGCAGTCTCAGAGCAAGAGGGTTGTGGCTTGGACTAGGGGTACAGCGCTGGAAATGTTGACTGGTGGTTGCATTGGGGATATATCTTGGAGACAGAGCCAACAGGACTTATGGACAGATTGGATGTGGAATGTGAGGAAAAGAGAAATCAAGGATCATCCCAAATGTTTTTGCTTTGAGCAACGGGTAGATGTTCCTGTCATTTACGGAGGTGAGGAAGATCAGAAAGAGAGGGGGCTGGGGGAGAGTGGGTCCACAATCAATTACTTTGTTTGGCCATTTAATTTTTTGAAATATCTTTTCAAAATCTAGGTGGAGTTGTCCAGGGAACTCAGAAGTGAGGTTTGGGTTGAATGATATAAATTTGAGTCATCAGATCAATTTAAACCCTGGACCTATGTGAGATCATCTAGGGAGAAAATGTAGCCAGAGAAGAGAAGAGAGACACAGACAGACCCTGGGGCCTCCAACATTGAGAGGAAGAGAGGCAGCAAAGAAAACAGGCAGTATAGCAATGAAGGAGAAGGAAAACAAGGGCAGTGAGGTGACAGGGATGTGTGGAGAAGACAGGGCTTCCAGAAGTTAGAAGAGATGTGGAACAGGATTTAGTGTCCCGGGAACATTCCTTAACACTCTGAGGCTTCTACTATGTCCTGAGAGGTCAAGTGGGGGCAGAACAGAGAACTGACCATTGGCTTTGCAAGATGCGGGTCATTGGTGACTTTGATGAGAGCTCTGTCAATGGGGCAATGGGAATGAAAGCCTGATTGGAGTGGATGGAGGAGAGAAAGGAAGGGGAAGAAATGGAGAAGGCAAGTACAGACAATGCAGGGAAGTGTACACTCCCAGGCAGGTGTAGGAAACCGCTCACATGGGTGTGCACAGGTGGAAATCTTCCCAACCCACCAAACAGCCTCCCAGGCCAAACACACAAGAGTTAGCCTCTATGTGGGAGAATTTAAATGGCCAGGAATTCTTTGCAGCTTCTCCAACAAGAGGTAGAATCTGTTTCTCCACCTCTTGAATCCATGCTGGCCTTCTGACTTGCTTTTACCAATAGAATGTGACAGAAGTGAGGTTGTTTGAGTTCCAAGCCTAGGAATCCAGGGGCCTTGCAGCCCCTGCTTTGGCCCCTCTTGGAATGCTGCTACATGAGAACAAGTCTGAGCTAGTCTGCTGGAGAGACCACCGGAGGCAGAACCAAGGTTCCTGGCTGACAGCCACCAACTACCAACATGTGAGTGAAACTATCTTAGACCATTAGCCCATCACCCCAACAGCTGACTCTGTCTACATGAATGAGTCCGGGCATGACTACCTGAGCCCAGCCCAAATGTACCAACCTAGAGAATCATGAACTGATACATGACTGTTATTTCAAGGTGCTAAATTCTGAGGTGGCTTGTTATGTGGCAAAAGCTAACCAGTACATTCTTAGA